CTTTGGAGGAGGCGGCGGCGCCGACGGAGGCCACGCCACATCGAAGGCTGCCGGAGGCGCACCGAAAAGTGCTACGGCCATCGTGGTCGCGCCTCAGCCTCAGCCGTCGACGGTGGAGGAAGGGGTCGGCGTCGCCGCCGTCGCGGGGCTGTCCCACAGGTGGACGACGACATCGTCAACCCGATGCATGCTACCCTCGTGGGTCACATCTCGGTAGTTTTCCTCACCCATCGTCTATCTTCCATTGCTCATGTATACTATTGTGTTGAAGCATTTCTTTGTTCTCCCCATCTGCTTTGTTCGTCGGTGTGAAATTATTTCTTATGAAATCGTTTAGGCTAGGAACGACAGTGGAACTGGTCGAGCCCAATATAAGCAAGTTTTGCCAAAACTGGTGCCACCAAATTGATGAAGTGGCAATCTGATCCATGTTGCATGAACAAGTCGGGGTGGAGAGAATCGATTGCAAGGTACTATGCAAAGCAACAACCTTGGTTCATGACAAGGACCAGTTCAAGAGTAAATTACCTTGACTCAAGCATTTGTGGAATTTTATCAACGACCTCCGGAAAGGCAATTGGCTTAGGCGAGAGTAGACGATGGCTCCATCCTTGCTATTGATGCTTGGTGGGACTCTCGATGCGGTGGTATGTAAGCAATCTTATGTTCAATCATGTCTTTGTTAAAATGTTACTATACAATGATTCACCTATGCCGGTTTTTCAGGGACACCCGGAGTGGAAGAAGCTCAAGGACGGGTGGCCTCCGTACTTGGACGATTTGGACCGGATGTTCGCCGGCAACGCTGTTGATGGCTCAACGTCGTTCTGTCCTTCCCAAAGCAATACAGTTGACAGTGAAAGTTCGGATGGCGACTCAATGATGAGCACGACGGCCAACTTACGCCGCTTAGTGTCGGTCGGTACTAAGAGGCAAGCAAAGACCAAAGACAATCGCCGCCTCCAAGCGAAAGCAAGCGGTCCAAGAGCCCCATTGTCGGGACCATGGATGCTCACATGAAGGAACACAATGAGATTTCAAAGCGAGAGGCTTGAGAGGATGACAACAATGTGGCAAGAGAGGAACCAAAAATTGAGGACAATGACAAAAGTATACTGGAGAGGAAGGTGGAACTAGTGCTACAATTGGCAAGAGCAGTGTGGTGCAAATCAAGAGACCCCAGTGAGTGGATGGCCGTGCTCAAGATCGCAGAGTGAGCTGTTATGAACTTCTTCATAAGCTCCTCGCCCCAAGGAAGGATCTTGACGATTAAGCAATACATCGGGGTCCTCCCTAGACCTTATTTTGTTAAGCTTTCTCACGTAGTTACTAAGTTATGTCATTAGAACTATGTAAGGTGTGGTGGGTGTCTTTGGTCATTGACCTAAGTATGTCATGTCGAACACTTGAACTGGTTATTTGTAGTATGATTGGATATGGCTATGATCTGTTGATGTATGTAGTGCATGAGTTTGAGTAACTGGCATGAGTCAGTTTGAATAGGGATGCATGCTAATGTTGCCTAGTTGATGTTGCCGGCGTGAACTATTTTCGTTTTTGACAGGAGGATGTCCAAGCAATAGTGGACTGGGATGATGTCCTGGAGGCAAGATTGTTATGAGAATGATTTGGACGAGTTCATCAGTGACTGGATGGAGGCGGAGGATGATGACGATGCTTTCATGTACGGTATGTACCAGTACGCCTACCACATTGACAAGCACTTGTCAAGGTCAGAGTATAGACAGCCAGTCATTAGTGGTTTGGAATGGGTACATAGTAAACTAGGAAATAGGAAGGCCTGTTATAACATGTTCAGAATGAGCCCTGATATGTTCCACAGTCTGCATGATGTGTTGGTACAATCATATGGGCTGAAATCTAATAGCAAATCCGCATCTATTGAAGCCCTTGGGATGTTTCTGTGGATGGTGGGGGCTCCACAATCTGTTAGACAAGCGAAGGACAGGTTTGAGAGGTCACTGGGGACTGTGCATAACATGTTTCATAGGGTGTTGAAGTCTGTTGTCAAGCTTGCTGCTGACATCATTAGGCCTAATGACCCAAATTTCAGCACTATGCATGATAGGCTAAGAAATCCTAGGTTCTATCCCTACTTGAAGGACTGCATAGGGGCAATAGATGGGACTCATGTCCCCTGTGTGGTGCCTAGTGATAAGTTTGTGCAAAGACACTGTGTGCATAAGGGGATGACAAACACGTAATGTCTTGGTGTGTGTGACTTCGACATGCGGTTTACATTCGTGTGTTAGGTTGGTGGCGGGTTCAATTACATGACATGAGGGTCTTCAGCGATGCGACAACAACATACGACAACGTGTTTCCACATCCACCAATGGTATACAATTAGTTGGTTATACTTTTGTGCATGCGAGTACAAGTTCGTGATACTAACTGTTGTTTCAATGTTATAGGCAAATATTACCTTGTGGACTCGGGGTACGCTAACCGACCAGGTTATCTTGCACCGTACAAGGGAACAAAGTACCACCTACTGAGAGTACCGAGAGGCACAGAACCACAAGGTAAAAGCGAGATCTTCAATTATGCACATTCGTCACTTAGGAATGTCACAGAAAGGTCATTTGGAGTGTTGAAAATGAAGTGGCGGATGATGAAAGAAGTCCCTAGTTATGCCCCCCATATACAAAGTCAAATCATTGTTGCATGTTGTGCCTGCATAACTTCGTAAGGGTGAGTGGCATAGGGGATCGGCACTTTGCTCGGTGTGACCGGATGACAACTATGTGTCGGCAGGAAGCCGGTGCCGATCGACCGAAACTATTCCTCCAAGCGGTTGTTACGATTAGAGCTTATGAATGCATTTCGGGAATCCATCATAATCGGTTTGGTTAATCGAACATGATTTGGTCGTCTTTTTGAGGCTTAATCGTAATGATAATTTATTTGGCTGTAATTGTATTTTTTGTCCGACAAACAATGTAATTATTTGACTGTGTAACTATGTGCCGGCATTAGCCTGTGCCATTTCATTTGTTTACCAATAATTGTTGGTTTATGTTCATTGCTGTGCTGTTGATGAGGCTCCATGACCCCAGCAATGACATGCATTTGTTGACAATGGCTGGGTGGATGTAAAACATTGCTTACTTGCATTCAAGTTCATGCATGCATGTCATTAATAAGCTGCATGCAGTTCATTAAATGGTGTACAGTAGGTTTTCAGATTTTGGGAACTAAACACCCCCTGAAAAGTTCTATTGCTCATATTTTAGGCTACTTCATAGCAACAATACATTTTAGGATATTTTACCAACTAAACAAGGGCTCAATATATATTCAGTTCATGGCTAAGTGAGAACTGTATACACAGATAGTACACATTGCTTACAGTATACATGTACGAGCCGGGCCAGCCCAGCGCTCCAGCCTACCGGTACGTACATCCGTCTCGTTGTAGGTGCGTACCTATATATCTACGTACCATTCAGACATGGAATAAGTGCAATGCTTGCTGGTATACAACCATACCGACTGGATTGGCTGTGCATGAACCCACGCGCAGTTAAATTTGATCGACCAACTCCTGAATTTATGCAACCAACTGGCGGGCTCTTAGCTTATTAGCTTAAACACCTACATACACCGATATACACACACTACTCCTTTCAGGTGTACCCAGCTAGCTTAGGTATCCATGAATATGATTACGTCGCCAACCAAATCCAGAAAGATATTCATACTAGTCTTTATACACTACTAGTTGTGCCTCATTGAGATCATCTGAGCATCAGCAAAGCCCTCTCGATTAATGCAGACGCAAATCAAACTTAGCTCACGCCAGTCTTGCAGAAGCTAGCTAACTCCTGCAGGGCACGATCAAGTCTAGCTAACTGTGAATCCTACCGGTACCGCGACAGAATCAGAATTGAAGCCGAGCCAATCCGGAACGAAGCTGGTTGCGATCTCCAGCCGATCGACGGAAGGCGATCATAGAACCGCCAGCGACGGATAAAGCTAGTCCAAGTAGTAGCAGTCGTATATTTATGCGAGGAGCCATCACGTCCGGTGGCGCATGCATGCATGCAAGCGTACTACAGGTACACAAGAGCGAAACTGAGCTAGTAGCGTCTCGCATAGTCGCATGTGAGTACAGCTCGGCACCAGCGGAGTGTCCTGGCCCACGGGTGGGTCCCCGACAGGTCACGCCGTCTCGATCTCTATCATACATGGCATCATCAACACCATCATCATTTCCCAATTCGATAATAATGCATTAGCGCTCGTAATCTCGTCCAACTGTCGTATCGTTGTTGGTATGTATGGTCCGTCGCTAAATTAAATCCCCCTTCATTCTCTCCTTAATCTAGTTCGTCTTGGTGCTGTCTCTTGATTAAGCTTTCTTTTTATATATGTGATGATGAGAACGGCGGTTTTATGGTTGCTGCTGGCATTGGCCCTTTAATTTGATCGACGTGGACATACATGTAGTACAGGTTCGGCAAGGTGTGAACACGCGCATACAACATTGGAAACACCTCTGGTCACTGGCAGACTCGCACAGGGTTACACGAAAAAGGGCAATTAGTCCTCGTAGATGTACTTGAAATTGCTGGAGGTCAGTCTACGTTTTGTTTGGTTAAAACATTAAGGTCCAGACAAACCGCGCCGCGCGCGGTCAGTATGGAGGAGTATCTTGAGGCCAATGCCACGAGCCAAATAGTACGCGAGCACATGCGTGTCCTACTAGCGTCCAATTTTGTCCACCAAAACAAATCGCCACACCGGCCCAAACCACCAATTTGACGCTTTGCCCCCAAATGCCACACCGATCCGCGCGCAGGCAGGACGACGCACGGACCCAAGCCAAACCCAAACCAGAACGCGCGCGGCCGCGGGCCGCGGCTACATATAACCCTGGACGGAGCGCTGGCAACTGCACATTTCATTCGCTGCGAGCGCAAGTGCGGCAGTTGAGAGAGCGAGCCGAGCTCGCGATCACCGGCCGCTCGCTCGCCATGGACCCCTGCGCGTTCGTGCGCCTCACCGTGGACCAGCTCCTGCTCAAGCTCCCCGCAGTGCCGCGCCCCAGCTCCGGCGCCGGGGTGCACCCTTCCAACTCGCCCTGCTTCTGCACGCTCACCCTCCAGGACCACCACCCCTCATCGCTCTCCCGCACCGCGCTGCTGCCGCTCGCGTCCGCCTCCGCCGCCTCGGGCCCCGGCGCGGCCGCGGCGGCGGCGCACGCCGACCCCGTCGTGCTCAGCCTCGACGCCGAAGCCGTGCGGAGGCTCTCGGCGCGCCCCGCCGAGCTGGTGGTGTCCGTGCACGCGGGCCCGACGGGGAGCAGCTGCGGCGTCAGCGCCTCCCGCGCGCTGGGCCGGGTGCGCGTCGCCATCGACGTGGCGCGCGCCGCGGCCGGGGAGACCGTCGTCGCCCGAGACGGCTGGGTTGACGTGGGGAAGCCCACGTCGTCGGCGGCCCCCGCCGTCTCCGCGCGCGCGCAGATCCACATGGTCGTGCGGGCCGAGCCCGACCCGCGGTACGTGTTCCAGTTCGGCGGTGAGCCGGAGTGCGGGCCCGTCGTGTACCAGGTGCCCGGAGGAGCCGCCAGCGGAGGGCAGCAGCGGCAGCCGGTCTTCACCTGCCGGTTCAGCGCAGGCCGGAGGGCAGCCAGGAGCAGGTTGGTATAGCTTCACGTGCCGTTTACGTGACACATATTTCTGCGTGCCACTTGCAACATCTTCATCAATTTGCTTGCTCATTCAGTTATCCTTTGTCTTCGCGCTGTCAGTATTTTGTTTGATCGTCGTTCATCATTTGAATCTGATTTCATAGCTACTAAGTGCTTGTGTAGTTCATACTTCATAGTTGCAGACATGCACTGGACCAAGAATGCTAGCTAGACATTAGCGGGCAAGGGTGGAGCATTAACTGTTGGTCCAAATGAACAGATGGATACAATTAAGTGGCTTAAGAGACTGATAGAGAAATCCAATGGTCAAAAGTTTAAAACTCAAGGATAAACAGATAACTCTAAATTAGCAAAGCTGGACAAACAAAATAAGTACACAATAATGGAGTTTGGTCATCAGATAGCGGATGGAGATTTATAAATAAGCCAGTGACAGTTAACATGAGCTAATCAAATGAAGTATATATCTACCTGTAACTAGTTTGCATAATTCTATTATGTCCTTTTAAGGCATCCCTCCTTTCTTTTTTTCTATTTTGCTTTTGATTTTTTCTTCACACCTTTCATAATAGGATGCCAGCTCTTAGATACTTTATTGGTTACCATAGGAGTACTACAAGCATTATATATATTGGCAATGCCACTTGATAAATGTATATCGCAACCTGCGCTTAATTTATCTATTCGCCATGGAAGCTAGCAGTTCTCGTTGGGATCAAAATGAATTGAACACATCGCTGTCTACAGAATTGTAAAAAAAGAAGTAAAAACAAACCAGATGGATCAATTTCTCAATAGCCCTTCAGTCTGAGCAGTCAAGTTGGTTCTCTAGAGAAACCTTCAGTGTCAGTGCTGCTCAGATCCCCATATATCCAGTCCAGCTAGCTTAAGGTGCCAGTAGCTTAGACAGAGTACAGACACCAACCGTGCATGTGATGGGCTTACCAACCTAGCTGTATTTTTAAATTTGCTCTGCGAAGCTCACATAGCTGGCTCATAATCTTCCATATATCACGTCGTCCAACTAAGGGGCACGACACGAGGTCGCATTACCATCGCCATTACTTGCTAATCTTGTCGCATGCACACTTGGCGCCACGCCATGATATCTGTGCGAAACTTTACTGGATTCACCAGTAATGCAACCATGCACCTGCACGTTACGTTCATGTAAACTAATCTCGCATGCGCGCTGCAAATTTTGACCAGATCGCTGACGCCGCAATCGTCCATGACCCGGAGCACCAGCCGAAGGCTGCGGTCCTGGCTGAGCAGCACCCTCCACGGCGAAGGCCGCGACGGCGCGCACTCGCGGCGCGAGCAGCGGAAGGGCTGGACGGTCACCATCCACGACCTGTCGGGGTCCCCCGTGGCGGCGGCGTCGATGGTGACACCGTTCGTGCCGTCCCCGGGCTCCGGCCGCGTCTCGCGCGCCAACCCGGGCTCCTGGCTCATCCTCCAGGCCACGGGCGCGGGGCCGTCCAGCTGGAAGCCCTGGGCGCGGCTCGAGGCCTGGCGCGAGCGCGGCCCCGTCGACGCGCTCGGCTACCGCCTGGAGCTGGTCTTCGACTCGGGACCCCACGAGTGCGCCGTCCCCATCGCCGAGTCGTCCATCAGCACCAAGCGCGGCGGGCAGTTCGTCATCGACCCGGCCACGTTCCCCGAGGCCGCCGCCGGCGCCGCGTGGCCGTTTGCCGGCGGCTTCGTCATGGGCTCCACGGTGGAGGGCGAGGGGCGCGCGAGCCGGCCCACCGTGCAGGTCGGCGTGCAGCACGTGACGTGCATGGGCGACGTCGCGGTGTTCGTGGCGCTGTCCGCGGCCGTCGATCTTTGCATGGACGCCTGCAAGCTCTTCTCGCAGCGGCTCAGGAAGGAGCTGTGCCAGGACCAGGACGAGTGAGAGACCGACCCGAGCGAGGTGTATTAATGCTCTTGGTTTTGGCTTTTGTGCTGTGAATTGTGTGATTAATCTAGCCGGTTAGCTGTTGCTATGATGTCTTGTGGAGGTGATGGCCCTGTGGCTGTGTTTTAGTGTAGGCTGGGTCGGATCACAAGAACAGGACGGGGTTTGTACGTTCATGATTGTTTAGTTGCCTCATTCAATTTATTCGATTCTTTTACACATCTATCATCTTCTTGTTCAATTAGAAAGATACATTCGGCAAGAAGCCGCAGGACAGTATCAGTATGCTACCATACCAGGCGAATGCTCTGCTTATGCCTTCACCTCCGGGCTGGTCTTCTTCAGGCCTTCCAAGAACTCGTCGAACGCCATGTATGACGACCCACCTTCCTTGAGAGCGTCTGCGGCCATCTTCTTTGCCATCGCGAGCCTCTCCCTAAGCTTCTTCCCTTCATCGGACTCCATCACCAGCCTCACCTTCGCCTCCACTTCGTCTGCCTCCACCAGCTCCTTCTCGTAGCCTTGCACCGCCACTCCAACCTTCATCTCCTCGACCATGTGCACCTTGTTCATCCTCTGCTCCGCGTACAGCGGCCAGCAGATCATCGGCACGCCGGACACGATCCCCTCCAACGCCGAGTTCCACCCGCAATGGGTGATGAACGCGCCGACGGCGTCGTGCCGCAGCACCTCCATCTGCGGCGCCCAGTTCTTCACCACCAAGCCCTTCTCTCTAGTCCGCTCCAAGAAACCATCCGGAAGCAACGCCCCCAGATCCGGCTCGATTGATTTGCTCTGGTGCTCAGGTGGGTTCCGCACGACCCACAAGAACCTGTGCCCAGAACTCTCTAGCCCGCGGGCCATCTCTCTCAACTGCGGCTCCGAGAAGATGCCCATGCTGCCGAAGCTGAGCAACACCACGCTCCGGTTCGGCTGCGTGTCCAGCCACTCAAGGCAAGCGTGCCTCTCCCTGCTTCCTCCCGTGTTCCCGGGCGGTACCAGCGGCCCAATGCAGACAGCAGGCGGAGTTGAGCGGCCGGGCGTGCAAAGCCCACACCTGAGCGCTTTCAGGGCCCGTGCTTCCAACCAGTCGAAGCTGTTCACGAGAAAGCCTCTCGCTTCAGGCATGCGCGCGCACTGGTGCAGCCGTGCTCTGGCAATGTCGCTCTCCCTGTCCTGCACCGTAGTCACCATGTCCATGGCGCGGATCGGCGGCACCCCGGGGAAGCGCAGCACGGTCTCGGGCATGTCTTTCAACGAGACCGCGGGGAAGTTGTACGGGAGGTGGAGGTTGACCGCGAGGTGGCCGAGCGGGGATGTGAAGAAGAAGTAGGCGGGGATATCGAGCTCGGCGGCGACGTCGAGGGCGTCGGTGCAGAACATGTCGACCACGACGGCGTCGATGGCCGGGAGCGTGCGCAGGAAGCTCCGGAGCGCGGGGTTGGCGACGCGAAGCACATTGATGGTACGCATGATAGGGTGCGAGTACTTGTCCTTGCAGGTGGGAGGGACTGGGAGGTGACGGAACGTGATGTCCGGGTTGGCGGTGGCGAGGCGGCCCATGGCGTCGGGCAAGTCGACGACGGCGATGATGACAGCCACGCCACGGCGCAGGAAGACCTTGCCCAGCTCAACCATGGGGTTAAGATGGCCCACGCCCAGCGAAGGGTAGAGGACCACGGTCATCATCTGCTTCTCCATGGCCATGGCTGCTTGTGCTTGGCGATCGAGCGAGGGAACTGCACCTAAATTGTAGCGAGACCTTGTCCCCAAAAAGGGAATATATTACATGAGGAAAGAAGACACGCTGGTTTTTTTTTCTTTTCTTTTGATAGCTAGAAGACACGCTGTTAAAATGCGTTGCGAGTGCCGAGAGGCCTGGAAGGCATGCGTCTACATAGCATGGGTGGTTGCTCGCATTGCCCGTGTATCTTTATTGTTGCGGATTGTTAGCAACTGGCTTGGGCAGGAAGAAGAACAGGGAGGAAGATGAGTTCTTAATTTGGAATTCAGAGAAGTGTTTACAGGGCCGATTAATGTTCGGGCCGGGATCCATATGAACTTGCAGTGAATATACATATCATCTTTGGTTATCGTCGGTGCGAAAAGTGATCAACAAGTAAATATTGGTAGTTTTGTCGTGCGTTGTGATCGGATGTGGCCTAACACTTAATGACACATGGTTTATAATAGCTCAGGCAACGTGCCCTACGTCCAGTTTGAGTCGGCCGGAGACTTTATTCCTGAGCCCAGGTGCTCAAAGTATGCTGTGGGGTTACAAACGAGAATGAGTAAGATAGAGGGTATCAGAGGTCCGGTCGGACTCCGGATCGAAGGGCCGAGAGTGACGGGAGCTCCGACGTGTGCTAAGTGTTTGAACGTCTGTTGTTCGTTGGGATCCTTAGTCGTTCGGATCGATCGTGTGACTGTGTGTGTCGTCTGAATCGTCGTCCCTGTTAGGAGAGAGCGCATCCCATTTTATATATAAAGGGGACGGTCTTACAAGAGAGAGAGAGTACGTATGCTACTAAGTCTTGTTGTCTACGCCGTCGGGTACAAGATGATTGTAGGCGTCCACAATACTGTTTACGTCAGACGCGTGTGGGAGGTTTTACCGTGTTCACCAGGTACGGCAAATGACGGCGCCCACAACACTGTTGATGCCCAGAGGTACGTGGGGGGTTTCACTATGTTTGTCTGGTATGGGAATTGATGGCGCCCACAACACTGTAGGGCAAACGTCGGCGTTCACAACACTGTTTGGGTTCTTACATGCCTGAAAGGTTACAACGCACCTTTCTGACATGTCTTGTCGGTACTGTCATGTAGGTGCACAGGGTACGGTCCTCGGTATTGCGGTTGACTTGGGCGCCCTGTCTTACTTGCTCCACCCGTTTTCTGGGTCTTCACCGAGCGGGCGTCCCCGGTCGGTTGGTCCCAGTCGGCTCCGACTGCGCCAGTCGAAGAAGAGCTGTAAGCAGAGGTTCGGTGCATCCCCGGTCGGAGATGCGGGTCGGAGTCAGAAGCGCCGTCGGCCAAGCCTTTCGATCGGAGAAGCGGGTCGGAGTTGGAAGCGCCGTCGACCAAGCCTTCCGATCGGAGAAGCGGGTCAGAGTCGGAAGCGTCGTCGGCCAAGCCTTTCGATCGGAGAAGCGGGTCGGAGTCGAAAGCGCCGTCGGCCAATCCTTCCGGTCGAAGAAGTGGGTCGGAGTCGGAAGCGAACGTTCTCTCCTCCTTGGCCAGGCCTTCCGGTCGGAGAGGCAGGCCAGGGTCGAAAGCGAGCGTTGCGCCGTTCCTCCTTAGCCAGGCCTTCCGATCGGAGATGTGGGCCAGAGTCTGAAGCGAGCGTGCGCTGTTCCTCCTTGGCTAGGTCTTCCGGTCGGAGAGGCGGGCCGGAGTTAGAAGCGAGCGTTGTCCGTTCCTTGGCCAGGTCTTCCGGTCGGAGACTGGATCGCCCTTCTGGCCTGTCGTTAGGTTTTTGGACCGGCCCAAGAGTTGCGCGTCGTTTGCAACGTCATCTGCTGGGCCGAGCTTTTGCTGGGAAGCAGGTCCATTAGGGACCTCGGGTTTATGAACCCGACAGTTATCATTGCCGGATCTACCTACCAACTGGTACTGGACTGCCGGTCGAATCACCACCCGACAGTGATATCCACTATCGGTTTTTGGCTTCACCCGACAACAAAGATGTGACATACCGGTTTTTAGCTTTACCTGTCATTGTTGTCCGCCGTTGGATCCATCTACAACCAATTTACACTATTCTCCACCGTTGAATCCACCTACCGCCGTTGTTTCAGGTTATCTCTACCTAATATTCAAGAGCGAAGCGTTTGTTTCATCTACTTTTTTATTACCAAAATACCCCCTCATTGTTATAAATTTTTGTCTCTTCCACTGCAGCCTTTCCCTATGCCTTGGTGGCTCCGTAGTCCCCAATTCCACTTCCGTCATTCAAATCCAGCGAACCATGAGCAGTCCCACAACTTTTCTTTCCAAGAAAAAAATATTTAAACAACTTTTTATTGTTGAAAACTTATTAAGTTATACATATAACTTTTATGCATAATATTTTACTGGGTTATTAAGTTATTAAGTATATACTCCATACGTCTAGACCTAAAAAAATCATTTATTTCAATATATCTCTATGTTCCTCCTTTTCATTACCTATACATTACATATTTTATTTCTCCTCAATTCATACGTCTAGACCTAAAAATCATCTATTAGGGTACCGAGCGAGTATATACTCCATACGTCTCTAAATAAATTAATTTCTGAGTTGTCCTAAGTCAAATATTTTTAAATTTAACTAAATTTATAGAAAAAGCACCAAGATATATAGCACCAAATTGATATTATTAGATGCACTATGAAATATATTTTCATAATTTGTTCATTTGATGTTATAAATATTATTGTATTCTTCTATAAATTTGATCAAACTAAAAAAATATTGACTGGACCGTTGTCGGCATGCGCTACGGCCAGCTGGCTGGTCCAAGTCCGTGCCTGCCTAGGCCCGACGCGCCCCCTCCTCTGCGCGCAAGGATGACATGCTCTTCTACCTCTGAGCCAAGAGTGACCGATATGAAGGACGTGCGCGTGACGCTTGGGCAGCCCGCGAGGCGAACGGGTGACCAATCAAAAACGTGGTGGACGCCGGCCAGCGCTGCGCCTATCCGAAACCAAGCGAAGTGGGCGGGCACGCGGGACACGGGCAACACGCCAACAGCACGACGCGTGTGGGCATGGAGTCGAGCTGGCAGCGTGGTAGGGCATGGCCGGTGAGCCAAAGAGCGCACACAGAGGACAGCTAGACAACAGAGAGAGATATGCATGCAAAAGAAAAAGAAATAGAGGGAGGTTTATGTAAAAAGGCAAATATAAACGAAGAGTACACATTATAATAAGTTTAAGAAACCAAACCTGGACTTTAAAAGATGTTGAATTTAAGTGATATGGGGCGAAAAGATAATGGATCTATGGCGCATTTTGCTCTTGATTTATCTGGGGACACAAGGGAGTATATGGTAAAGAAGGAAGCTGCTATGGCTGAAAAACTAATAACTGAACAGTACTGTAGCCATAACTGCGCTGCAACCGCTACCAAATAATCACAGCGCCATACCGGCCAAGCATTACTAGCACGAACTGGAAATGAATTTAAATTTTGTCATGATTCGTTATGAGTTGAGAGTGAAGCTTGGCTACATACCTCCTCTAGCGGCTATAGCTCAGTATCTCTACCACATATCTTTTCACCGATGTAAACTTCTCTAAAATCATTCAAGACACTATCCACCACAGTCATGAACTTTTCTAAATGTACCTGAAAAAATGTACCAAGAAACAGCCCACCTTGAATGAAAACAAAAGGACGAGATTCCCCTGACCATGACTTTCTCTCACTCACTCAAATCCAACGGCCGATGTTCTTTGGATCGAACCTTCATCACTCATCCTCTCCCCCACGCTTGACCGCTTGAAAGCTCTAGTTTGGTTTTGGTGAATTGATGAAACCCTAAGTGCTAACCTAGTTTATCAAGTGATCATGAGATAGGTACCACATTTCAAGTGGTGAAGCAAATGAAGATCATGACATGATGATGGTGATGCCATGGTGATGATCAAGTGCTTGGACTTGAAAAGAAGAAAGAGAAAAATAAAAGGCTCAAGGCAAAGGTATAAATGGTAGGAGCCATTTTGTTTTAGTGATCGAGACACTTAGAGAGTGTGATCACATTTAGGTTCGATAGCCGTACTATTAAGAGGGGTGAAACTCGTATCAAAATACGGTTATCAAAGTGCCACTAGATGCTCTAACTCATTGCATATGCATTTAGGATCTAGTGGAACGCTAACACCCTTGAAAATGTCTATGAAAATATGCTAACATATGTGCACAAGGTGATACACTTGGTGGTTGGCACATTTGAGCAAGGGTTAGGAATTTCACCAGCGCCTTAGACAGAAAAGATGGAGGTCACTGTAAATGACCGGACACTGGTCTCGGTAGGACCGGCGCGTTCGGTCAGGTGGAGCATGAAGACGCTGGCGTCAGTCTCTGACCGGACGCTAGGTCACTTAGTGACAGGATGCTGGAGGGGTGCGTCCGGTCCTGCTGATGTGGCAGCGCACAAAAGAGTCACCGTGTGACCGGCATTCGGCCATGAAAAGTCATCTCTGAATGCTTACTGGAAACGACCGGACGCTGGGGCTCAGCGTCCGGTCACTTTGAGCTGCTGTGTCCGGTCATCACTTGACTGTTGAGATCGGGCGATCTACATTTGAAGAGAGGAGACACGTGCCACGCATCGTGTGACCGGACGCTGAGGTCCAACGTCCGGTCGATATGACCGGTGCGTCCGGTCACCCCACGTTGTGCCTAGTGAAGGGGTACAACGGCTCTATTTCATGGGGGCTTCTATTTAAGCCCCATGGCCGGCTCAAGCTCTCTCTCTTGGCCATTTGCATTAACATAGCAACCTTGTGAGCTTAGCCAAAGCCCTCCCACTCATCTCCATCATTGATTCATCATCTTTGTGAGATTGGGAGAGAATCCAAGTGCATTGCTTGAGTGTTTGCATCTAGAGGCACTTGGTGTTCGTGTTTCGCTGCGGGATTCACTTGTTACTCTTGGTGGTTGCCGCCACCTAGATGGCTTGGAGCAGCGAGGATCGTCGAGCGGAGGTGGGTGATTG